GTGAGCCGAGATCGCGCCATTGCACTCCAGCCTGGGTAACATGAGTGAAAATCCGTCTAAAAAAAAAAAAAAAAAAAAAAAAAATTCTGCAGCAAATTAAAAAACATTAAAAAAATTTTTTTTTACTTTAGTTTTGATGCTGCATGTGACGGTTTGTTACATAGGTAAACTCATGTCATTGGGGTTTGCTGTACGGAGTACTCCATCATTCCGGTATTAAGCCTGTTAAAACATGTGCTCTGAATGAAGAGAACCCCCTAAACAGGCTTTCTGTGAGCAACATGGCTGTTTATTCACCTGGGAGGGGGCAGGCTGAGTGTGAAGAGAGCCAGCCGAGAGCGGTGGGATAGGACTTGGTTTTATAGGTTTGGGGTAAGCAGTGGAAAGTTACAGGAGTTACAGTTTAGGGTGATTTTTGCAAGCTGAGAGGGGTCTTAGGGTCTAGAGTCCTGAGGTTGACCCAGGTCAGTTTCAAAGACCAATTGCCTTATCATTTGAGGCAGAAATAAGGAACAATAGAGAATGTCTCAAAGTTAAGTAGGCTCTGCAGGGGTTGATTATTTTTCTCCCTTTTGTGGTTTTCCAGTTACTTCAGACTTTCTAGTTCTGGGAGGCCATCCAGAGGTGTACATGCAGGTCACGGGGGTCGCCATGGCTCGACTTAGGGTATGGCTTATGATGCAGCCAGTTAGCCTAAAAGACCTTACAAAGCTTAGTACCCAATAGTTATTTTTTATCTATTTATTTTTTTGAGACTGAGTTTTGCTATTCTTGCCCAGGCTGGAGTATAATGGCATGATCTTGGCTCACTGCAACCTGCGCCTCCCGGGTTCAAGTGATTCTCCTGCCTCAGCCTCCCAAGTAGCTGGGATTACAGGTGGCTGCCACTGCGTCTGGCCAATTTTTGTATTTTTAGTAGAGATGGGATTTCACCATGTTGGCCAGGCTGGTCTCAATCTCCTGACCTCGTGATGCACCCACCTTGACATCTCAAAGTGCTGAGATTACAGGTGTGAACCACCATCCTGCCCTCCAATAGTTATTTTTCTGCTCCTCTCCTTCCTCCCACCCTCCACTCTCGAGTAAACCCGGTGACTCTTGATTTCTTCTTTGTGTTCCAGTAAATATCTTACTATGAAATTTGATCCTGCTAGTTGTGAAACTTCACATGTTCTCATGTTAGTAGACATGGCTAGCTCGCTCTTTGACATCTGCATTGGAAATCTGCTGGGTGACAACATGTGGGTCCTCTGCAATTTTCCTCTGTGTTAATAGTGCCACAGTGGCTGCCTCTGTGTGCGCCTGCATGAC